TTTTTTTTTTTGCATTGCATTGCATTCCACTCATCACGAAGGTAAAACTTTTCCAAGGAACCATGAGTCGTAACCTAATAGTTCTCTTGAAAAATGGTAAAAAAAAGTTTCTTAACAGCGACTTTATTTGTTTAATTTTCGTATTAAGTTTCACTAACATTTGATTTATGATAGTTGTAGCATCTACGTGAGTCTAAATAATCAATTGACTGTTAACATTATTAGAAATATAAACATTACGCAGTATAGACGCGTCCAGAACATAAAGTCGCTGTTAGGACGCACGCCATTTTCCAAGATAGTTATTAGGTTGCGGCCTATGATTCCTTGGAAAAGTTTTACCTCCGTGAATACAATACAAAAATTCAAGTTTCGTAGGTCTTTTACATGTATTTCCATCAAATCGAAGGTAGAATTAAATCAAATAGAATTCATCTATGCACAGCCGCGGCCAAACTTTTCTCTCCATCCTGTACCTCCGACATCAAAGACCTGGTTCACAGCCAAAGCGTAATTCGCAGGGAACGCGCGATGGCGTTTGTACCAATTTTACGATTGTATTCGCGCGACAGGCGCATGCTCGCGCGCACGAATGTCGTTGGTTATTAGCCAGGCCAGGATATTAATCCCGGTCGGTGGCAAGTGGCGCGATAATGGTGACACCTACGTTACCATCAGTTCGAATTTATGTCGACCGAGTTTCTCGTTGTTGTGTCGCCGACGCAACAGCGAGCTTCTGCCGGTCGGATGCGAGTCATTGTTGGAACATCAGAGAGCATCAATGATAACCTCTCCTGGTCAACGACGCGCCACAGATCGCATAACAGCACCGAACGTGCTCACGTGCATGCGCAGTTAACTACTCGCGGATCGGATCGCGGAAACGATGGGAATTACCGACCGAAATTAAAACACCGGGACGGTAGACCGATAACATATTTTCCTTCGTTAGCGTGGCCGGTCGTTAAAATTTGGTACGCCTGCCGGGAAATGTAATCACCGACGCTATAACGTTTCATTCTCCGTCCCTTTCGTTCCCACCGATATTCCACGCAAGGGGTAGCAAAAATTGCGGGAACGCAAGGCGGCAATATTCGCGATATCTTTCTCTGGCCATATGCATACATGGCGTATTACTTTTTAAATGGCCATTGCAAAGTTTGCACCTGATAGCGAAACATCATACGTAATTACATAGCACGTGTATTGTATAGTTCAAATTCGAAATAACTAGTTCGTTAATAACCAGTTCGTCGTAATTTGTTGAGCACTTTTAATATTAAATATGAAACTCGGACAATTCAAAGGATAATCTTACAGGCTGTGAACTCCAGAAAAAAATGTCGTTTTACTTACCTGTTTATTACACGCGTTCATACATTATCACATACGTTTCGAGAGAGAAAGAAATTGAGAATAAAGTAACAAATCGACGGTGAACAATCGCGCGTTGTTCAATCATGAAGAAAGATTATATTAACGAATTTCTAATCCTAAATGAGGAAGACCTGGAAATCAGAAAAAGAATGGCGGTTCACAGCGAAAGATTTATCGATATACGATCGTGAAACGTTTCGCTTGACGATCTGCTTTTTCAATCCAGAACTATTGTTATTATTCACGTATTTATTCGATTCTTTTTTCTCTTTCGCGATATTTCACGTGTGCGTTTGGGAATCGTGC